GTGGAGTTACAATAAGGAGGGATTCAAACCAAAGCATTGCAGTTCTACTTTGTATTGGGGTTGGGCGATTTTGGCAAAAAAATAATAATTACGATTAATTGTAGTATTTAGCCGATAATGATTAATATGATGATTAATCCCTAGATGCATGTCCTAGTCATATGACCGATTTAAATCACTCTAGCAGGAAAGATATGCTCTTCGTAAGAATCTGTTCAAATTGTGTCAAAAGTAGACTTCAGGCTACTCAAAAAAAAAACATCAAAACATTTGCGTTGGATTTACTTAAATAAATTATGTCAGCAGGTGCTACTCAACTGAATTAAGTAAATCTAACACAATTACTTCACAATCACTTATAAAGTAAATGAAATAAATTGCTTTAGATTTATTCAATTCAGTTGAGTAGAACATGTCGACATAATTTATTTAAATGCAACACAAAAATTCTTGATTTTTAAAATTTTCATCAATTTTTAAATTACGTTGATAAACCAAATAAAGTCGGAGTCATGATAAAGAAATTACAGAACTTTTTAAATAAATGTTTGTCTTATTTGAAGTGGAGAGGAGCAGCAAACTGACCGGGGAAATCTCATCAAGAGCCAAAAAATAATCAAAGTTTTTCTGACGATTAATTGCACACAATATGATTTTGCCCAACCCTACTTTTTATATAGACCCCAACTGATGGTTTGAATGTGAAAAGAAGCATTTAAAATCATGATATGCTCACTTTAAGCGCATTGTTTATCACTTAATGATCAGGAATATTAGTTCAAAGAAACACCAGCATTGGATTATTTTCCTAAAAGCAGCTTTAAAACCCTTTTCATTTTATTTTTCACGTTTTCTTTGTTAATTTTACCAAATGTTTTGTGTAAAACTGCTTTCTGTGTTACTCATGATCATGATAACGATGAAAGGCCTCATCTAAATCACATTTTCTAAAAGAACGTCTCCTTCCTACATTTAGATCAGATTTACCAGACAGTTTTTTAAATAAAGATTTCTGTACTAAAAAATTCTTGACAGACGTTTATCCATTAATTAGTACCAAACTGAGCAGTGTCAGCTTTGTTTACTTGATCTTCTGTAATTACCTGGGATTTTCCCGAGTGCCTTCTTATGTGTTGCCAATTATTTTTTCACCAGAAAATGTCACTGTCTTGCAGAATGCTAACAACTCTTCCTCCCGCGCTGACATTTGAGCCGTGTTCGTGTCAGATGTTGGTATTAAATATTGACAAGATGTCATGTAGCATTTTCACTGAGCTGGACTCCCGCTTGTCATTCTGGCTGACCATGTAGAAATAATTTTGTGATTATGCTGCAATGTCAGGAAGCAGAGCCTGCTGTCTATTCATAGAAGTCTCCTCTCTGTACTTCTCCTTCATGCCCGCTGCTTTTAGTTATATTTGCACAGAGGAACCAAAAGATTACACCCACACGCCGCACTCTGTAAGTGATGCCAACTGCAAAAGAAATTTTTTTTTAAAACAAACAGCAAACTGGATTTCCCTGTGCTTGTTATTACAGTGAATAGCAGCCAAAGGTCAAACAGCATGTAGTAAGTAAAGACATAATGTTTCCACTGCTGCAAAGACAGCGACGAGGCTCCTGACTAACTGTGGCTCAGTCCAAAATGTTGACATGAAAGATGGAAATTGTGTCAAATTTGTAGGTTTGGTCATACAAAAAAACATCTATTTTGGACTCAAACCTCCCCTGCTGTATTTGGAAGGTATTATGGATCAACCTCCAAGTGTGTTTTATCAAAATTATTCTGATAGCTCTGTGATCTCATGGACAGAAAGGAAGCTTTCCCATTATCTCTGCACCGAGGATATGATTGTGGCTTTTGAACCGAATGTGGATGGGCACAGTTTTCTGTAATCTCTCAGCTTGCTGTCAACAGAAAAAATAAAAATAAAAAAACATGATACTCCAGGGCAGCTCAAAGCCACTATATTCCTTCCTGTCAGTTTATGTTTTGGCACGCAATCCTCCATTTAGGTTCAAGTAGCTGGAATGCAGCAACAAGCTAATCCATTATTTTTTTATTAAAGAAAAACACAATCTTGTTAAAGTTCTTTCTCATAAAAATGTGCTTTTTCTATGCAGATCACGGCCTGCTGCTGTGATGCATAGCAGGAGCTTTGAAATGTTCCAGCCCGGCCAAATTCTGATAAAATGGGCACTCCAGAGCAAACTGGTGAGTGAAACTGACAGGAAACACAAAGAAATCAGACCACAAGCTATCAAATGTTGTTTAACAATATACAACACACATTTCAAGAAGGTAGGCATGTTCAGTAAAATGGTAAAAAAAAGTGAAAAAATGGTCCTGTTCCAATTTAATTTTTTATGTGTTAAGATTAAAACAAGTGTATAATTTTTTAGTTGTTTTTTTATGACCCATTGTGAATTTACAGAAGCAGAGAGCGGCCGTTTTCTGCATATCATTATTTTCCATGGTTGCATGATTAAATTTATAAATGGTTAAAAAGGAGGACCATTTTTTCAAGATAATTGTTGCACACTTGAATAAAGACTCAGTGTGTTCATTGCGGGTTCATTTTATTGTTGATAGCTGTTAACAAACAGAAGAGCAACAATGAGCGTCTCCATTCCTCCACAGCCGACGCAGCACTGAACTGCTGCTGGCCTGCTGAGTCAGGAGCGCACGTCTTCTATATGCCACCTTGTGGCGAACCTTTGCCACTACAGGCTTTCTGCAATAACTAAAATGTAAGTGGGAGAATTGGAACTTGAACGATTATCAATAGAATATTTCCCAAAATACCATAATCAGTCTTTCAACAAAATAAAATAAAGTAAAAGGGAGGGGGGTGCCATGTCTGAACTCTATTCTGTCACATAATGAGTTAATTTCCAAATGGTTTTCCTCTCGTGCATCATATCCAGTAACCAAGAAGACATCCTGGTCCCCTCAGCTGGTCATTGATCAAGTTTACTATCTATTAAAAATAAAAAATAGGTCCACTGAACGGGTTCTTTAATGAAACATTTTGTCTCTCCTCCAAGAGACTTCTTCAGTCGAGGAGTTTCAGGTGAACTCAGTCTTATAAGCACTGCCTCCACATGGTTGACAAACGGGTTGGTCACATGCAAAAGAAGACCATCGATTAAACAATAGATCATTAGTGCCTTGATTAGCTTTACTGTTCATAGAGGGTCCTTTACTCCTCTCTCAATCCAACGTTCCTCTCTATCAAGGATGATAACATCTTCATCCCTGAAAGAGTGACCGCTGGCCTGTAGATGTGCGTAAACTGCAGAGTCCTGACCCGACGAAGTAGCTCGTCTGTGCTGGATCACTCTTTTCAACAGCGGCTGCTTTGTTTCCCCAATGTATAACAAAGGTGTGAATCAGGGCCCCAACGATAGTCAGGTGACGGGGCACATGACCCTCTATCAAGGCACTAACGACCTATTGTTTGGCTGATGGTGGTCCTCTTTTGTGAGTTGTTTGTCCTCTACAGATAAATTTCATATCGGCCCTCGTCGTTTAAGGAGACGGCTGGCCTGACTGGAGATCAGCAGGTGTTTGACACAGTGATCTTGATAATAAACTGTGTCATGACCAGCTGGGAGGATCGGGCCATCTCTTACTGAACGATGTACAAGAAAATCATAACTTGTCATCTCGAGAAAGCTCGTTATCTCAAGAAAACGCTCCCCGTTATTTCCATGGAAAAAAATATATGTGGAAAACGGCTGCTCTCGGCTTCCATGTGAATTAAATATGGGTTTAGGAAATTTGCAAATCAACTTTTTCACAATTTACTACAAAGTAAAATTCTTACTTTTTACCAGAGGTCTCTAAAGTAGGTACTTATAAACAATAATAAGTAAAAATACCTCAACAGAAAATGGCTTTGGTAATAAGAATTTCACTGATGAGAAAAGTACTTAAGTAAAGGTCATAAAACTGTTCACAAAAATCAGGAAAGTAAAAGTAATTTTACACACTCTAAAAAATAAACTGCTGGATTTACTGAACTAAACTGGTTCCACTAAACCAAGTTGAATAAATTGAGCAACATATTTTTTAAAGACTATGTAAATTGCCTCTTCTAGGTTTAATGGAACCAGATGACATGACTTGGTTGAGTAAATTCAACTCTTACCTTTTTAAGAGTGCAGAAACAACTCCTTTCATGATGAGATCAGACAGATTTAATTTTGTAACATGTAACTAGGTGTTAAATTTTAAAGAAAAGAAGTAAAAGTATCATTTTTGGGTTTTAAATGTAGCAAAATAAAATTAACGATTTAAAATATTTATTGGTAAAATTACAAATTGTCCAAAAAAAGTACTTTATTGTAATGAATTGAATGTAGTTACTGTAAACCTCTGCTTATTACCTCAAAGTGTGCTTAAGTGTAAGGAGAAACTGGAGCGACAAGCTAAGTGTGTTTGACTGACTTAGAGCCACTGCAGCAGAATTTCAACTGTCTGTTAAACCAACTGAAGCTAAAGCGAAAACCTCCTGCGCTCGTAAGAAGGGATTTCGGTGGCAAATGTATTCCCAAGGCATTTTTTTTTTAAATCAAAAGTCGATTTGATTCTTAATTAAACCAATAGCATGGGGCTGCAGTGACAGCTCTGTGGTGCTGTGCCTCAGTAAAACCTAACAGCCACTAAAGTTTTCTTTTGAGTAATGATTAATGCATCCAATTTGTGTGATCTGTACTGAGTGAGGCATCATGGGTAATTTAAAAAATGGTCTAAAGAGCGCTGGTTGCTCTTGGAAAGTGACAAGGCTCTAATTACCATGAAGCTTGGTTACCCCTGACTTAAATACTAATTGTGTATTAATAACTGAGCAAAATATGTTCCTCAATATAATCAGAAATAACCCAAACAGTGAAAACAGCTCTAGAATAAACCAGTCATGAAAAGGAGTTTTTGCTTATTTATTTGTTTGGCAATTTCACAAATGTAAAGTAATAAAATAAAAACAATGCTTCAAACATATTTACATCAATGTTCATTTATAAAAAAAAGTAAGGTGCAAAAAGTACTTTATTACTGCATTGCACATTTTCCACTGAGAAGTTTTAAAAAACCCACTGGCAGACATGCAGGCCCCTCTATTTAAAGGCTTGTTTCATTTGTAACACCTCGCTGATGAAGAATACAACTTCTGCTAGTAAACACAACAACAACAGCCCTTGCACGCTGTGAGGAAGAGCGATGAGCTGCGAGGTTTATGCTCTCACAATGATTCATAAACAGGTATTGTTCTGAAAAAGGCAGCAAACCTTCAAACACAAATTTACTATACAGGGATGACTTCTCTAGATGCTGCGTGCCTGAGAGAAAGAGTAAAAAAAAATAAAAACAACAGAAAACAATTCAAATAAAAAATGTTTCCTTTGCTACAATTTAAATCAAACCCATTATTTTTATTATTGTCTCTCCTCTCCTGGATAAATAGGGTAATAAAGAAGGATGCCCATCAAGCTCTCGGTGACATTTTAGGCAGTCATTTTGGAGCCGTAAAGATGCTCACTTGATGGATACCAGAGCTTCACAGACAACGGGATGACAAAAATGAAAAATGCTTATGGATGCGGTGGCAAATAAAGAAAGGCAAAGAGAACAATAGCGGCGCGTGAAATGGGTGAAGGTGGTTAAAAATAATCAAACTCTGTGCAGCTATGTCCATTTGTAAAGAAGAAAAAAAACAACAACAGAGGAAAAGATGGAGTGAACATGTGCAGATGGATCGCTGATGGCTGCTGCTAAAAACAGACTGGAGAGCCTGACTCTCCTCTCAGTACACCGGTCTGTAGAGGAGCTCCCCAGAGACGAGTCGGCGCTTCAGCTCCTTCCACAGTAGCTCTCGCTCCTTTTGGGCTCCCTTCATGAAGCCTCGGTTCTCCTGAGCCCTCCGAGACAGGTACGGCATCACCTCACTCACCGGCCCGTAGGGAACGTACTTATAGACGGGAAAACCTGCCTGGCCTGGGATCAAAAAGAACAGAGGACAGAAGATCAGTGTTTGATCATCTGGATCTTTGTTTTTGTTTTTTGTTTGTTTTTTTTGGCCTCATTTAATAACTGGTGACAAAGTGGTTTCTGACTATTTTCATGGTGCTAAACTTTGACGTGTCGTTTTGGATCAACTCCAGACACCATACTGCTTGGCGTCCCTCTTTTATTTTTTTGCAACAATCCTCTCCAGGCAAGGCTGCAACATTGACATTGACACTGACATTCTCAGCTTGCTCCTTTTCAATTTGAAGAGCTGCCAGTCCAGCTCACAAAGAACACATTTTCCCAGGACTCTCTTTTTTTTGTTTGTTCTTTTAAATACTTAACTAATGCATAATTGTGGGCAAAACATCAAAGCAATAAAAGAAAACCTTGACAAAACCCTGCCAAACATTCAAAGAGACAAATAGGAAAAAAAAAAAACTAAAAATGGCACATTTACTTAGTTTTAGTCGGTTTTGTTGTTTTGGAATGAAAAGACTCCACTCTGGATGCTGTTTTCATGCTGAGAGCGACAAAGAAACTGGTCTGTTTATATCAATAGCAGTCCAGGACATTTCAGTTTGAGCCGTCCATCGACAGGCATTTGCCTGCTGTGTCCGTCTCTGACTGACAAATAAAGAAGTGTGAGGCAACAGTGATGCTTCGTTAAGACAGCTGGTCAATGCCGAGGTGTCTCAGTTCATGTGTCACATCACAATCTGCAGACCAGCACTGACTTGTGTGCACTTCACAGTCCGTGTAACCTGTGTGTAGCTCCGAGGCCTCGTGAGACACAGCTGAGAGCTGCAGGGGTAGGACGGCAAACTCATCCCCCAGAGGCTGGACTGCAACTCTTTACTCACCCTTACATAAGGTAGGGGAAGGCCAGCGCCTCGTCCCTGAATGACCGCGTGGAGGGGAGTGTGTTTGTGTGTTTTTCTCACCCAGTGGGAAGCTGATCTGATCACACATGCCCAGTAGCTGACCAAAGAACACCTTGTTCTCTGTGGGTAACAGGCCCAGCTCATTCATTCTGAATGGACACGATAAACATACAATATTAGATCAGTTTATACGAGAATAAATGTTAAATGTGTTTTCAGCTGTGTGTTTAGAGGAAAAAATTCAATCTTACCTTCGCACGGTGTGCTTTATTGTGTCCTCATTATGGGAAGCAACCATTACATTGGCCTTTTTATTGAGCGCAACCTCATCCAGCACATAGTCCAAGCACCTTACAGAGAGAAGAAAGGATAATGTGACAAACAACTGATTTGTTTTGCTACTGCACATCATCTTATATACTATCTGATATCTTATATATTCTTGTAAACAATATAAGATCATTTAAAAAAGAAATGATGAAGTCTTTTTGGTCAAACTTTGAAAACAATCAGCAATTACTTTATGCTCGCCCCTAATTTACACAGGGTTCCCACACCTTCGTCAACATCAAATTCAAGGACCTTTCCAGTGCCAATTTCCTCAAATTAAAGAACCATGAGCAACGGCAATTACCTACTGCTACTGCAGAATGTTACCAATAAACAGGTTTAATATCATGTAAATTCAATAAAAAACTGAAGATAGAAGTTGTTGAGTCAGAAACAATGACGTCATTTTACCGTAAGCCTGAGTTATCCACCGCAACAAATGTAAAGTTGTTTTTTAAATTTAATTTCATAATTTATTTTTTTTAAAAGATGATGAAAATCGGTTGTGTGAATAGAGAATTTCAATCCCCAAAAAAACATTCAAGGACTTTCGAGGACAAGTGTAATTTTTGGCTGTTTTCACAAACTTTCCAGGGCCTTGAAATATTTTTTTCTAATTCGCAAACTTTCAAGAATTTCTAGGACCCATGGGAACCCTGTTTACACTAGATGTGGTTGAGAGTATTTCTAATAGCATGGTGCTTTTCTCTTTTAAAATATAAAAAGAGGTTCACACTAACCGTGTTTCCATCCAGTTGTAGAGTGAATTTTTATCGAACTTTTCAAAATTCGCAAAAAATTAAATAAATAAAAATTCGAATCTAGACTGTTTCCATCTAGTTTCCCTCTCGACTGATGCGAATAAACGAGGCTATGCAACGCGTGATTACCTCAGACGTCGGCGATAAGCTGCGGTAGTAAACAGGAAGTGAAACTTGCTAACTAGCAGAGGCTAATCATCTCGGGACAATGGAGCGATTTTTTCGTGAATGCCTTGCTATTAGGCAAGTTGTAACTATTCTATCTATTCAGCTAGTACAGGCTATGTTTAACGCTGCCAGGAGATGTAGGGAAATAAATGCAATGTTAAACTACGCAGCAGAAAGGCACGTGCAACTACGCCGGGACGAGGCAGGAAAACGGAAACAGCCGAACGTCACGTGAGGTAAATATGCGCTACATCAGAATTTATTCGGTAAACGTGTTTCTATCTCCCATTTTGCGCATTAACTACTTTGTGAATCATCCAAAAACCACCTCAAGCGAGCGAAAAAACTTTTTAGCGAATTGAGGATTTTTTTTTCGATTTTTGCTGTTTCCATCCGACTTTTTTTTCCGCATTTTTAATGCGACACTTCTAAATGCGCATCAAAAAGCCTTGATGGAAACACGGTTTATGAGAAGTTAAACAAACACCAGTGAGTGTGTAAATGATAATAAAGGAAGCAACAAGCTCGTACTTGTGGTACATTCTGTTGGTCGTCTCGTAGTCAGGGTTAATAGGATCCTCGTATCCCAGCTCTTCGGCCCTCGATCGCTCCTGATACATGTAGGCTCCTCGCACCAGCTTGGCAGCAAAACTCCATCCTTCTCGTTTAGAAAGTTCTACGTCCATGGTTACATTTTCATAGGCTTCCTGTAGAATAAAAAGAGCAAACATTCATACAACTCAGTCGAAAAGTCTAATTTTGCAACTCATCTTTTTTTATTGTATTTTATTCAGGCTACGTTGATTATTTAATAATTACAAAGCCAAAAGTAACGAGATGCAGAACATTTCCGAAACTTCCAACCTTAACTTGCTTCAAACAAAACTCAAACGTCTAACACTAATGTGGCCTCAGATCGCGTTTGTAATCTGGCAGCACGGATTAGCAGAGATGACTGCTCAGCTCTGTTTTTACATAACCGCTGGAGTCATGGGTAAAAACAGAACAAACTCATAAAACCTTGGCTCAGCTTGATTTTAGAAAAATCCATGAAGTACACACATCAACCAACTGTAAGTATTAAAAAACATGTTTTTCAATAAAAAAAATAACATGACTTGGGTCAGTAGATTTAACAAACTAAGAATGATGTTAACACATATATTACATATATATACACACATGTATTTTGAGAACAAAGGCTCCATATCTGATATTTGGATAGTGTTACAGGTTATTTATGAAAAAGACACCATTTGTTGTGTTTATGCATAATTTTTTAACAAATTTGATGATGTGGTTTCTCTGCTGTTGGTCCTGACCTTTAGGTAGCACTGGTAGGTGTTGAAAACAACAGGCTTTTCTCTGTTGAACATCCTCTGTGTCTCCAGGGTAAGTTTGCTGATAGCTGGCTGGAAGTAGGTGTGCTCTGCATCCACCATTAAGCGAACACCATTCTCCGAGGCATGCTGTAACATGAAAGTTCTCATTTATCTGATGTGAAATCACCCAACTGTGCTTATTAAGCAGCTGTGCTAAAGATGGACCTCACATAACAATCTAAACTTTATTTAAACCAAAACATGTTATCTGTAATTTATTCAGTTGTTACTCTGTAGAAAAATAAAGAAAAACGTGTATTTATTACTGTAAAGCAAGCGTAAAGGTTAGAAACTAATGACTATAAGAAATAACAAAGAAGTGCTTCATAAAATATCACTTTGTTCATATTGATAAAAGATGCCACATTTGTTCAAACATTAAAATTACAGCGAAATCAACACTTAAAAAATGACTGTTTCAAAGCGTGTGCTTGATTGCATTCTGTAATGTCTCCAGATGATGTGTGATTACCTTTGCCAAGATGAGTAGGCGCTGTAATAACCTCTTCAATTGTTTCTCATCCTCTGTTGTGAATGTCTGCAGCAGAGGCTCCAGTTTACCTAACTAGAGACAATAAGGAGAGACTCAACCACGAAGTTCTATAACAACCTAAAGAATTAGAAGAAAAATAAAAGTGTGACTCGGAACTCAAAGCAATTGCTTCAAGATTTTTAACAATAATAATAATAAATAATAATAATAATCATGCTGACTTCTCGGTCAAGGCCTTTTTAAGGTCATTTAAAGGGGCAATATTATGTGTTTTTCAGGCATACATTTAAATACTATACCATAACAAAGTATCTATGTCACCTTTAGCTGTTATTAAAATGCTGTTTTTATGTTTAAATAGAAAATAAACTTATCTTCTCATCACTTCCTCTTCTAAACGCCTTGAAATTGGCCTCTGTCACTTTAAAGGGATCCCCGATTAGTTGTAACATTAGACTTTGATAAACATTTACTTTAACTGTAAAATAAAGACTGTAAAGAATACTGTAGGCTGTTTACTTTTTATAATTTTAAATTAAAAGTTCAAAAATATATTACACGGACTGGGCCATTTTATTTACACACAAAGCATTCTGGGTAAATGATGATGTGGATAGGTCATCGGTGCGAGGCTGCTAGCGAGCTATATCCACCTATAAGGTTAATCTTGGACAATATCTGACAATTGGTTCTTTTAAATGAAACCAGAGAGCATTGACAGAGAAGAAGGTAGAAATGACTCAGCCTGTAACTGAAAATATAGATGGAGGACCTCAGTTTAGCTTGTTTGTCGCGCTAGCGCCGAGCTAATACATATAGCGTCAGCACTAGCGCAAAGGCTAGCAGGCTAAGCTGAGGTTCTTCTTCCATGAAGCAGCTCTGTTGTCCTCCATCCATATTTTCAGTTACAGGATCATAAAATATTGTCCAAGATTAAACTTCAGGGTGGATATAGCTCGTTAGCAGCCTCTCACCGATGACCTACCCACATCATCATTTACCCAGAATGCTTTGCATGTAAATAAAATGGCTCCATCCGTGTTAAAATATATTTTTCAAAATTTACAAAACTAAACAGCCTGCAGTATTTTTACAGTCTATATTTTACAGTTATAACAGATGTTTATCAAATAAAGTCTAATGTTACAACTAATCTGGGATCCCTTTAAGAACCACCTTCTGTTTCTGTCTCGCCAATTTCAGTGGGGGGGGGGTTSGTGCTCGCGGGGGGAAGGGGAGGCTGCCATGATGCAGTTTACTTGGCATCTGAAAATACATTTCCTCAAAGGTATTTTTATCTGAAAAGAGCTTCACTAAGTGAGAACTCATGTTGAGAGCTCAGCAGACAGTTAAGTTTCACTTTCAGTTTCACCCGAGAGCCTGTAGAAGTCATGGGTGGGGTGTGTGGGGAGGGAGAGGGGGTGCACTCCGCCATGAGGAAGTTCGGCTTAAAGACACGTCCGAGGGGCGTTTCTGGTCCCAAAAGGCGTTTCTGGTCCCCACCTGTCGTTTTGCTCCTCAGCATGGCTGCCTAAAAACGCTGCAGGATTTCTCAAACATGCATGAATGAGTCAAAGCAAGGCGGCATGTTTTTTATGAGAGTATAACATTATAACACGACATAAAAAAGTTGTTTTTACACGATATTGCCCCTTTAAAGGTTTAAAACAAACATTTTGACTGTAGAAAGTTACATCAAGATCCAAACTGGAGCATTATGATACAGTATTGTCTTTTGCTTTGTTATGCCTCACAGCTGATCATCATCAAGGACACCGACAGTAATATAGCGGATAATCAAATCTACTGACATTTCAGATATTCTGATTTCTGCAAACCAAATATTAGGTCTTATTAATGTCAGACTTTATGCACTCACAAAATGTCTTTGAAAGGAGACATATCAGGGTTTTAAAACCTTTTTCATTCACATTTAAATCCTTCAGTTGGGCTCTACATAAAATAGTTGTCCTGTGCTGTATAGTGTATAGGTGGATTTGTTGATTCAGTTATTAATGGGATGGAGCTTTTATGGTTCTGATTTATTTTTTGCACATCTTCTGCAGGCTAGATTAAATTGGTTTTACTGGCATTTGGAAGAGTTGAGCACTTTTTGGATCATTCGTGTTTTTAGAACAGTTTCTGAGCAGGTTTTGGGTATATTATGTATATAATATAGTTATTCATATTATAATGCAATCTATATTGATGCCAGAAGTGTTTCTAAGCAAAAACATCTGAGGAGATAAGCCAGTTTTTTTCACTTGATGCCAGTGATTTTAATATTTTGGCAAACACACATGCACACAATGTCTTGCTTTCTGTTGCCATTTGGGGTGAAATAATTACAGATGAACTAAACAAAATTGTAGACAGAGCAGCAATTTTTAAAAGCATCCAATTATGTTTTTGTTATTTTTTTTAAATCACTAGCAGTTGCTCCCAAAAATGGCTTCACAATAAATTGATCAGAAATTAATGAGTTCACAGCAGCTGCACAACAATCTGCCCAGAGCAGGAGTTAGTGATCGCTTAAACTGTATACAAATCACATTCGGGTTAACAGATAATTAATTACTACCCCTTTTTTCTTTAGCTCAACAAAACATTTGAACCCACTAATATTTAGCTGAATTATATTTCATGTATTGGCTGTTTAGTAAAGGTGTTTCCGATGTTTCACTGACCTTTACATTTGGTACAACGAGCAGATCTGATGTGCTATCTCTGTTTTCTATAAGGCTGTTCCAGTCAAGAATATCAATGTACCTGTGGAGAAAGTATTAAAGCAACTGTAGACACATCAAAATCAGAAACAAAATTGTTTATAGCTAAATACATTTGTATATAAAATCAATTTGCTTTGGGGTACCAGTGATATGCAAACATTTTAAATAAAACAAATAATAAAGTAGTCTAACAGCAATCATTTAGCTTTTTATTCTTTTTTTTATTTATTCAACACTCATAAATCACAATGAAAAGGTGTGAGGATTTTCAGTGCATCTGTTCAGGGTATTAAACAAAACTTGTGTGTATTCTTTCACAGGTGTAATCATACGTCTTGTGATATTGTGCTAAAACTTGTTGTTGTGGACTGAAATGCTTAATTTTCTGACACTAGTGTTCGATTTTGTATTCTGTGAATTATCGTAGAAAGTATGCAGCATATAGTTTAAATACAGTATTTTATTGTGCATACAGACATTTGTTT